ATATTAACACCGTGCATTTCTTATAATTTAGAGACTCAAACTCTTTTTTGAATAAACTTGTAATTCAACGGGCTTATACGACAAAGGTTTTGCTCCTCTTCGAATTATACGATATGCTTCCACGTATGTATGTCAACAAGATTCCGAAATACTTTACTGTTAGTTGCCTTTGCCGGGATAGATCATTTGACATGTAAGAAAATATGATACATTATTTAGACTAATGTTTTATGAAATTGGTAATGAGGTTGAATGCTGAATAAAATACGTAACAACATTCGGTTCGAAGATTTCAGCACCTGCGTACTTCCTGACATTGTTTTCATACCCAACCCAGTTCTTTTCCAAATGGCCCCATGCAGTTGGCCAATAAGATCTGATTCCACACCTGCTCGAATATTCCTGTAAGAACTAAAACCTTAGGTCATTCCACGGTACTACGCAAAAGTGATGAACACTCATGTCCCTCAAAGACATATCACGATATTGCTGCATAGTCTTAACGGCCCCGTAACGATGCAAGTTTAAACGGCATCCAACAACGGAAATACACAAGTACATGCCAACCATATATGCCAAGAACGCTCCGTTCATATCAACTGTGTGAAATAATGTTTGGTAGTCTGCCTCTGGGAGCAAACACTATCCAGTTATAATGTACAATATAAATGTCTAATTTAATACTGTGGTTATAATTAATAATAATAATAAGCGGAAAGAACGTGAGAAAAAGAAAAAAGTTATATCTTGTATCCTATCATAAGAACAAATCGGAAAGTTATCCTACGTCGAGTTGGGATAAGAAATCGGTCATATTAACTTTAGCACTTCCTGTCTAATTTGGGCATGATAATAACACACACCATGCTAATCTCTTTGATGTTTTCGTAGCATTCTCCAAAAGAAATTACATGACTTGTACACACGTCCGATTTAGAATTAAATATATATATATATTGATTCGTGGCTGCAATATAAACACCAAAGAGTTTGCCAATCTCTTTCTACCGTGAACCAAATTACGTCCGCCATCCAAGGAGACAATGTTCTTATTCACAGCCTATTTTCTATACTTCACGCGAGTCACGCTCAAAAGCTATTAGCAATTCACAATGATTTGTGTGTGGAAACAAATCAACAGCGACAGCTCGTTTAGGATAAAACGGCTTTCCAGTCCATTGGTTCGATTGCGGTCGGCATAGACTATACACCATGTGGGAAAAAAAGTTGGGTTAAACTAATTCATTGAATCCTCGGTAAAAATTGGTTCTATCGATGCACCCTTTTACCTTATAAAATTGTTCATGGCAGCTTCCGCATCGCATGCGATAAATAGAACGCGCTTTAGAGCATCGCAATTTCGAACGGCTTTGATCACGCTCGGATGGACTCCAGCACTAATCGAACAAAAAGTTGATTAACAAAATTCTTTCGCATTTACAATACTTTCAGCATGATCATTACCGTGGAGGATCCAATATTGCGACTACAGATTCATTCTCACGTCTGAAAACATCAATATTGTCTTCAACCTTCCCCGCGATAAAATCAACATTCTTCAAACCTACACCAAAAACTGCAGTCAATCCCCCGTTTTCCTTTCCCCTCCCCCACTCTTCTCCAACAATGATATCTTACCATTCAACTCGGCATTAAATTTCGCATCCTCCACAGCCTCAGGAACCATCTCGACTCCAACAACTTTTTCAACGTGTTTCGCCATGGTGATTCCAATGGTTCCCGTTCCACAACAAAGGTCTAGCAGTAATGTTTTCGAATTGTCCAATTGCGCCCATTCGCGACACTTTGTGTACAAAAGTTCCGTACAAGCTGTATTGACTTGGAAAAACGCTCTTGGTGATATACGAAATCTTCGACAACGTATTGGTAAAAGTCGTTAGACCGAGACAGGGAGCCTGAAATGAGAGTGAGTATAGGTCAATGTACGATGCTTACCGACAGTCTAATAATTCTTCGTGAATGTGGTCAGATCCATGTAACAATTCGAGAGACGCTTTGGGAGACAACCCGTCAGCTACTTCGGAGGATATTTGGACCAAGAGTGAGGTTATTGAGAACCCACATGATCTGCTTGCTTTAGAGAAGTGTTCCCGTATGTCAGATTTAAGCCGGTCGATTTCTTCTGTCGATAGAGATTGTGGATGGAACTGTAGTATTACCATAACTGAAAGAGTGATGATCGTGTTAGATAGGACGCATCTTGGTAGTAATCGTTGGTAACGTGCGGTTGCTAATAACGTTACCTTCACCACTTTTTTGTGTCCTGACAGTCACTAGTCGCCAATAGCCTTACGAAAGAGAGTGATCAGCATATCTTTTAGTGTGTTTAGTTCAACACGATTTCTTTTCTGTCTTTACCTTCTTTCGTTGCTCTATCGTACACGTCGTAGCTGGATTCTCTGACAAAATCCTGTTCAACGAATTACCCCATTGTTATTATCAAAATAATATAGATTATTTGTAATTCACTCTTTCTTGTATACCTGCGTTGCCTTGGCGATCTTCTTTGCTGTTTCCGATACATGCAGGCAATGTGTTGGCTCCTAGGGAATTCACGAAAATACCTTTTTTTTTTTAAAAAAAAAGGAAGACATGCACACATGATGTTCTAATAACTATTTTATATTCACAATATTGCACCTCAACTATCGTGTATCCTTTCTTGAACCGACCGAGCAAGAATCCAACGACCTTTTCTCCGGCTATGTTAATTCCAATGGTAAATTCGCATTTTGTTCTATAACCTTCTGTTACAGGTGACGCTATTATATCCAACACCTCGCATGGTAGTTTATCTTGTCTCCTAAAGTATAGTTTAGTAAATTGAATAGGAATGTCCAATAACACAATAAAGACTAGGCCAAACTTACGCCTCGAAAACGGATAAGATTTCGGGAGTCACGTTTGACAACTTCCTCATATTATTACGGAATTTGTGCAGAGTCTGGGTTATCGCCTTTTGTTTCTTGATTAACTGCTCTGAATATGGCAGTCTAATTGAAATTCCACCCACGAAAAGTAAAAAATAAATAAAAGGAGAAAATAAATAATCGAACAAATGTTATCTCAAGATGGCATTTACATGCCCGTTATTGCTTACTTGTATAAGGGTGTCACTTGGTCTGCCAATTTTTCATGTGGTAGACGAGTATCTTCCTCCAATTCGACCTGTCTTTGAGCCGCACGTCTTTCATAGAAAGCTTGTTGGTCCTTGTTTACGAAAAAAAGGCGACAAGAGATTGCTTACATAGACCATCCAACGCAAAGACTTTATGCAAAAGCATTCTGTACGATTAATATGATACCTTCATATCAAACTTTTCTATTGTCGCGCGCAAACAATTCTTTTTATATAACACTTGGTCGACTTTCTCCTTTGCTGCCAACATGTCTTCGTTATTCTATCATTTTAATTTGAAGGATTGTCAGCATATAGCAAGAGGGGAGGGAGGGAAAGACGTTGCATATATAGTATCGATCCCATCTTAAGATATTTTACCTTAAAGGTGGCAAAAGCATAATTCTTTTTTGGGTCTTTAGATATTTTTGGATCTAGTATTTCCAATATATTAAGAAACTTCTTTAATGTTTTTGCCGTTGTGTATGGAGGCAAGTTGTCTACACGCAGTCGCATCTGCACGGTGGATGATGATTGTAGATCGTCGCTATCTTTTGAAGATATAGTTTTCTGTTTCTTAGCGACATTCCCTATGTATTCCTCCTCATCACGAGAGTGAATAGACATTGTAATTATATTTCAATTTTGGCCTTTTTTTTTTTAACCGCATAAAATTAAAATAAACATTTATTGCGTCATTAGTGTAACATATTCAAGAACTATATCTTATCTCGAAAGCTTCTCCCACGCAGCAGGTGTTGTCAAGTACAAATATTCAGAAATCATTCCCTGACTGACATTCTACCTGCCCAGTATGTCCTACGGCTCTAACTCGCAAGGCCCACTCTATACTGCGCCTCCACCAGAGTACGCACCAGAGCATGCACAAACCGCTAATGCGGGAACGTCTTCGGCTCGTGAACCGTTTCTGGGTAGAGAGTGGGAGAATGATAATGTACCTGATGATTTTAAGATCGGAGTTTCAGTCGGTCAATGTGATATTGGTATTAGAATGGGTAAGTCGACAGCGAAGGATTAGCGTGGATGCCGGGAGCGAGAAATGAGAACTACTGTAAGGAGACATTGCGCCGCCAAGCAGTTGTCTCTTGTAAGAAATCACTTGTGGAAACGATGACTGATTGCCGTTCTTATGTTGTAATAACAGCTTTTGTCCGCAAGGTATATTCCATTCTTGCGACTCAGCTATTCTTGACGATGGTTATGGGCGCTGTGTTCATGTATAACGAATCTGCTAAACATTGGGTTCAATCAAAGTTCGTATACTTGTAAATTCCAAAGTCTGTTTTTCCCGTGTTAAAGTACTAAGTTTGATTACATGATTTCTTACAAACAGTCGTTGGGCTGTATGGGTCTCTATGATTTCAACGTTTGTCCTTCTTTTTGCCTTGATCTGGAAGCGTCGGTCTTATCCAACAAATTATGTTCTTCTGAGTCTATTCACGTTTGTTGAGGCTTATGCTATTGGAGTGACTGGTAAGTTGATTCACGCAGTTATTTCGTTGAAGTGTCTTAAAGTATACGTAATAAACCCTGTGCAAACATATTTCCGTTTCTAGTCACTTACTTCGCAAAAGAACTCGTTCTTCAAGCTTTAATTATAACGTTCGGCATCTTTGTTGCTTTGACTCTATTCACTCTCCAATCCAAATGGGACTTCAGTGGCTTGTTCCCTTTCCTCTATTGCGCATTGTGGCTAATCGTAATTCTAGGATTTGTGCAGATCTTTATTCGATTTAACAGTACCTTTGATTTAATTCTTGCTACTGGAATTGCGATAGTCTTCTGTGGATTTATTATTTATGATACTTACAACATCATGCATAGGCTAAGTCCAGAGGAGTACGTAATGGCTGCTGTCGAACTGTACTTGGATCTTCTTAACCTATTCTTGGCTATTTTGCGTATTTTAAACGATTTGAGAGATTAGACAGAAAAATAGAGCGTTCAAGGGGAGAATAGTAGATTTGAATTCATAGTGTGTTTACTTCAACATTTGTATTCCTATGAGTAATTTTTTTTTTATCGAAATTGCATATTCGCCTACGAACTTTTATTATTTGAAAAATTCCAACATTATTAAACTAATCCAAACACATGACCTTACATGTACCCATTAATCGTCGTTCACTTGTAGTCGATTGTAATGTGATACCAAAGATTCTATATGGATTGCATCAATTCTTACTTCTACATCTCTTGCAAGATGGCCCCATAATAATTTGCTCTTGCAGACAGGACATTGCCCGGCAACTGGTAAAAGGTATTTCTTCGACGATGGGGAAGGGGACGGATCGTGCTCTTGAAGAAAAGCTTTTGAAAGACATCGTCTATGACTTATCATCTTACAGTATTTTTCTCGACAGATGAAGTATGAGCGATGATCCTATTACAAAGATCGATTGCTTGTGATTAAATTCAACAATGCATTGTTAAAGAACATACTAATCCTTGTCGCTACAATAACACGCTATATACCTCGATCGAAATTGGCTCGGGACAAAGGGAACATTTGGTTTTTTTTTCCCGATGGAAAAAATATTTCTGCAGCTGTTCGTGTTTTTTCTCGCCTTTTCAGAGAGTACAATACACGGTAAGTACGGAACGTCAGTTTTAGTCGACCAACCGATGACAACAATGATTAATTATTTACTTTCGGCACGACCCTTATCGGCAAATGTATATCTCATTGTCTGCAAAGGACCCGATGTCACTTTAATATGTTTTGGAAGGATATCTGTATTGATTAGATTCGAGTCTGCAGCAACCAAATGCAGTGCCAATGGCCATCGATTCCATGCGTCTAAACGCAACATTTCATGTAGCACATCTAGTCGACTTTTCAACGAAGTCTTTTGATTCGTAAGGCGGCCGGGGAAATGTCGAGAGTAGTGGTCATATGTCCACGCCCATTCGAACTGGAAATAAATTTTAAATAGTAATGATATTATATGCATACATCTCAATGTCTATCATTACATGGGACATTACTTGTAGAGCTGCAGTACTGGTAGGAAAACCATGCACGAGCAAAAGTATCTCCCATGGCCTTTTTTTCTCGGTTTTGTGTGCACCGGCTGCTATCTCTCCATTGTGTTGTCGCAATCGTTGTATAGGATTCGGGGTTGTGCCAATGTATACGTAATTCCTGTGTTTGCTTTGAAGTGAACGTAAAAGATAGCAGCAATAAAATTCTGGATGTTCGGCTTTCTTGTTCTTTGACATTTCAACTACAATAAACTACAATACCAAAAAGCAAACAAATAAAATACGCGTTATTAATAAATTTCAATTCAGCCAATAGAAATCACTCTCGCAAATAATCAGCAATTGTAAGTAGAATCTTGATCATAAAATAGAGACTTTTTACTTATCACTACCATATAGGATTATCTGTGAACGCACATTGAGGATAAAATTACTTGCCAAAGTTTCGAATGTCTTTCTAGGACTATCTTTATCTGTCTTATGCAATAATTTCGTACTATGTTATAAGTGTTAGCTGAATTTTCCCTGGTGAATTGCAAACTTTAAAAAATGGTTTGGTTTAATTCTCCTTTACTATTACGGGCCCGCATCGACTTTGCAATTTATTGAAGAAATATCTTGGGTAAAGTGGAATACAATAAATGAATGAAAGCAACTAAATGGATTGCTGGTATTCTACTAATTAATATTCCTCAATGTGGATGCGAGAAAAAGTCTATCTGTTACAGTAGATGTCGTATTAAAATACTGGTAACGTCGAGGTTAAATTTCAGAAATCACGTATAACTATGTTGTCGAACACGTGCGTACAACACACGAGATTACGACAATAAATGATCTAAATAAGATATCGAATCAATTATGTATATAATTAACTAAAGTACGTTTTAAACTTTTGGTTATTTTTTTATGGTCAATCCACGATCAATATTCCCTTCGCCAATGCAATCTCTGCATTCAATATACCACTGCCCGCAGCACCAAGAATAGTATTGTGCGCCAACAAAGTAAATTTGATGTCTAAAACACCACATTCTCTCACCCTACCGACAGTCACACTGTACCCGTCTCCATTATCTCTATCTAGCCTTGGTTGTGGTCTATCATCTTGTCGATTAACCACAATTGCCTTCTCTGGGGCAGAAGAACATCCAATCTTTTGTGCATCAGAAACATACCCCTCCAATACTTTTATCACCTCTTCAACTGACGGCGGCGGTCTTCTCTTGAACCTTACCGAGACACATTCTGTATGTCCATCCAACACAGGCACACGGTTACATGTCGCCGAGACTTTTGTTTCCGACAACAACTGAAAAGCGCTCTTAGTCTCATTTATACCTCCCAGAATTTTCAGTGTTTCCCATTCGATCTTTTCTTCTTCGCCACTGATGTATGGAACTATATTGTCAAATATGTCCAAAGATGCCACGCCGGGATATCCAGCACCAGAAATTGCTTGGAGAGTATTAACGATCACAGATTCCAATGGACCAAAGGCGTCTTGAAGTGGTTTCAGGACGACAACGAGTCCGGTGGTGGAGCAGTTAGCATTAGTTACAAGGAAGCCCTTGCGGAGAGAGTGGAGTTTGCGTTGATGGGCGATTAGATCAAAGTGAGATGCGTTGACAGTCGGAACAATTAACGGGACAGTTGGATCACGGCGGTAATTTTTCGCGTTCGAAAAAACGACTAAATCGGCCAGGAGGAAGGACAGTTCTGTATCATGATAGATAATTGTTGGGTTAATAAAATATAACTGAGCATTAATTATTCCTTTCTTTTTTCTCACTTATCACTCTTTCCTACTTATCCCACTTCTTACTTGTCCCTCTTTTCTTACCAATCTCTCCTGCAACTGAAGCATCCAATCCAGAAAATACAACGTCACATTCTTTAAATTCCTCTGGCTCACAATTTTTCACCAACATCCCCTTCACTTCTTCCGGTATATCATTACTCAGCTTCCACTTTGTAGTATCTTTGTACGTTTTTCCAGCAGAACGCGAGGAAGCACCGAGAGCATGTATAGTAAACTGTGGGTGGGTGGATAAAAGAAGTATGAAACGCTGACCAACAGTTCCTGTAGCGCCTAATATTCCCGCTTTAATAGACATATCTTATAAAGCCACAAGAAAAGGTAAATACTGTGAACAAATTTTTAGCGTAAATCCCATCTGCGGTTTACATTAGATCACAGATCTCGTAATAAGATGTCGATCTCATAAACAAAGATGTCGATCTCATCAACAAAGATGTGGGGTGGCCATGCTTATCGTTATTATTATCATCTGCTGTAAAGAGAAGTATTATTAGTGTTCTGACCCATTCTTGGATTTGACCCATTCTAAGAACGGGTCAACCCATTCTGGGATCCTGAAATGGGTTGGCCCATTTCAATTTTTGCGATGTGATAATCTATAGTCATTTCTGATTATCACACATTGGGTACACCAGCGATGATGCTTTTTTCATAAAGTAGTTTATCTTAAGCGCATGTTTATTCATCTTTAACAATAAATATAACAGACATAACAATACTCGTTAAGTATACAGTAACAGGATGTATCAA